TCAGTGTTTGTAGAATAATGGCTTCTTCAGATAGGTATGCCAAGATGTCATCATTAAGCAGAGTTTGCCAGGTCCTAAAACCTCAAAAAGCATTTGTGGAGTGCTGGATGGAACTTTGAAATCCATCTCACAGTCTTCATTATGCCAACTTGCCTTTAAAGTATTAAACTTGAGAGAGACAGGCAAATTTACAAAAACTGCCAAGACAGTTATAGATTAGTATTCAATTACTGCTACCAGCATGTGTTTAACCACCTGATCATTACCCCACAGTGACCACTTGTATGACGAGAACTCACAAAGGAGAGCAGGGAGATAGTACACCAAACCTCCTACTCATCATTTTGACAGGGTCTTCTGGAATGTTAAATTTATATATATATATATTTCCATAGCACAATGAAGATAAAAAAGTCCAAGCACTAAACAAGAAAGCCTCAAAGGAACCTAGAGGCAAAAGCAAGAATTTTTATTCCCTTTCACAGGTGCAGAGGCTAGGAGTCTGCTGCTCTCCCTATTCTTATGCAGGGCTGCTGATTCCAACGGGCAGACTAAGTTATTTGCATAGCTGCACTCCAGCAATCAGGCATCTATGGTACAAGTTACTGCCTGGGAATTCAAAATTATGCCCATATTTACTGCTTATTGAGAAATAAAAAATTGGATGCCACCTATTTAAAAAAATACGTAACAAAATGACATGGCCATATCATGCAGCAAGCCTGTGGCAAAGGCATAGAATTCAGGGTTTACCATCTCCTAGTTCTCCAGTCTATCCATTACACCACACTGCTTTTCTACATTCACATCCAAGTCAATTTGACTTTTTGCACAGGGTAAAGCCTCCACCCTGCCTTAAGAGGCTGTTCCACCACCTGCAAGGTACAACTGCATCCCTATAGTCACTAATACAGCAGAATACACATGGATGATATAGACAGTTGTTCCCAGCAGTGTCCTGATTAAAGCAGCCGAAAGAACTTGAGGAGACTAGAAAAATCACAGTAAATAAAATACAAGAAATCCAGTGACATTCATTGACTTTCATCAGTTATTTTTTCATCATTTATTTGTTTGGCAATGCATAAGACTAGAGCAGAAAGAATAACACTTGTTGGATATTGTTAAATCTTCTGTACTCGCCAGAATTTCTTCTGGCAAGTAGAATTTTCGTAAATTTATTTCCAATTAGTATATACAACAAATGTTGCTTATGCCCAGTTGAACTCAGCTTCCTGGAAAATGGCCATCATTTCCTAACAAATGGCCATCTGATTAGTCCCCATCAGGAGGAACATACTGTATCTAAATAAGAAGACTGGGAGAAAAACAAACGGCAACAAAGAGCAATAGGCAACGATGCAGAGAGAGAACAGTAGTGTACCTTTGCTCATTTGAGGCACAAATTCAAAAGGGTGGAAAAAATCCAGCTTATCTTCCAAAGGCTTTATCGCCTTTTCTCAGGTCAATGACTTATACCACACATCATCTTTCTGTAACCTAAGTGAAGTTTTCTGATACTCTGAACAAGTGATTTCAAACACAGAAAATATCTGTATTCTAGCCCTATTTCATGCTCTCTTTCTGAATCCTGTCACAAAGTAACTGATGACTTCAATCACACTGCAGTACTGATTTCCTCCTCTGGATCAATACAAAACGTTTCTTGATTAGGTTTTTGGTGCTAGGAAGAATCTCATCACTATCAATCTTACTGATTGGCACCTTAAAGCACTAGTGTATGAAGATTCCTAGATCTATTTTTAAACGAAAGTTTCCACGTGTACATATATACTGAACTCCAAACGATCCATACTGCCAGATAGCTCACAAAAAACTGGGGAAAGAAAGAACAGGAGACAGAGGAGCTGTGAAGGGAGAAGGAGTAAGAATTCAAGGGGTGTACTGAAAGCAAAGATGATATTGGGTAGACTTCAGAAGCAATGCAGACTGCTGAGAGCACAACTGCAAGAATACTTTGCTTAAACAGACATCCCATAGGCAAGAAAATACAAGACTCAGCAGACATACACTCTAAGACGGCAAGTATGTTACTTGCTGTGCTCTATTTCAGCAAGACTTCACCTCAAACTGTATATTGAAATCAAACCCGTAAGACTATTTTAAAATGTAATTTGAATGTTGCAAGTCCTACCTCCGGACACAGGTATTCATTTGTCATATTTATATAGCAGCTTCATCCTCAAGCTTCCTAAAGCATTTCACAATCACGTATTTGCAGTACTGTGCAAATACAACCCCTGCTAGGGTGGCTTCCACAATAACCAGAGCACAGGATATCACTCAGCAATTAAAAAAAGGAGCCTGTGGTCAGGTCAAGACAACAGACAGGCAAGGCAGTGTTCCATCTTTAAAAAGAGCAGCTAAGCACCACTGTAACATGGCTTATACATCAGATGCTTGCTCCTGCAGTTGCACTGTTTGAGCAGATTCCCCAAATCACACATATTCTGGCTGATCTCAAACAGCAATGACCACCTAATACTGCTATCAGCTCGCTATCGCTCAAGTAGCACAGATCTGTATGTTGAACCCAGAGGTCCCAAAGCTGCTGGTGGTCTCAGTGGGTATCAATACAGTGCTTTGGGCTGAAATTTGTTTCTCCATTTCTTTCTGAAAAGCCAAGGTACTACCCATGTCAACTACATTAAAAAATCATGAAGGCTGAAAAGTCAGGCACCAAAACGTTTGTGCAACATTGATTTGGGTGAGCATTATGATATTTCAGCTCCCCCTGACTGCATTCAAGGACCTTACCAACATTCTACACTTTTGCAGGAAAACCAAATCCTGCATATAAACCATTTCACTACACAGTCAGAACTGGTTCATCTTGTGCACTGAATAAGCCAGGAGAGCTGATAAAAAACTCAGCATTTGATTAATTAAAACTATTACCACGCATATTCACAAACAGGGTGAACTGGATGTTTAGAAAGGCTTGATTTTGGCATCTTCCCATTTTCTATGTCTGTATTTGCAATCTCAATAGGTCCATTGTAGCTGATCTGTGTATATGTTTGTGACCTCTATATCTGTTATGTTTGTAAGATGTTTGCTCTATCGGCACTGAGCTACATTACGTGCCCAACCTCAGTATGATTCAGGAAAACCAAAGTTAGAAGCACAAATTCCTTATATAGTAAAGGGAGAAAAACAAGCAGCTGCTGGAAGAACTGATTTAATAGACCTAGGATGGTGACCTAAAGTGGATGTTGTGAAAACCTCCTTAAAGCAGCAAGTTTTTCCTACTTATTCTAAATATGTATCTTCTTCCCCTCCACAGTGTCAAAGGTCTGCTTAATTCACACAGATTTAATCGACACAAAGAAGTGAAAGAAACAGATGGCTGGAGGCTAGCAGGCCAGCAGGCCTGGTTGTGTTAAACAGTGCACACTTCCAGCGTGTACTTGAGGAAGCAGTGTGTGCGAAAGGGAGATGAATAGGAATTCATCTGCAAAAAAAGGAAACACAATGGATATCATACAGGAAGTTTATGAAGGGCAATTTAGACTGCGTCCTCAGGACTGAGTTACACTGGTCACACATGTGGCCAAAAAAAACCATACAGATAAGAATAGCTGCAGTCAGCCTGCATCAGCCAGGAGCCAGTTTGAGAACATATGGCAAAGCAAATGATTCAATGCAATCTGCTCGTTCTGCTGCTTCCCCCAAATATTGCTGTACTAACATCCTCTGCTTTTTGCCTTCTTACATAGTGTTACTATATAAGAGCACGGAAAACACCTGTAGGGATGACAGGGACCTACAGAATTACTAGCACGATAGGCTGCTGTGGAGATTCTCATACTGTTCCTATAGATCAGCTTGAGATGTTTACACTTATCTTGCTGCTTACTCGTGCAAGCAAAAGAAGAGAAGGGAAAGCTAGCAGGCTACTCCTGTTTGCTCCTTTCTCTTTCTCTCAGGCTAAAAAAGTATGCACTCTCCCAGTGCAAATCTGGATTTCACACCAGGCACCCCAGCTGCCAGCCAGCACCACTGTGTTTAAATTCTGTGAGGGTCACAACAAGCACAAGTTTTACCACTTAAACCCCTGTTCATGTCCTTCAACTTCCTAAAACATCCAGGTTCAGGCCTATAATCTCCCAAGGTAAAAATCTCACTAAACAAAGGCAGGTTTGGGCTTTTTACATCAAAAACGTTTTTCCTTTTATAGATGTGGTTGTACAAATAAACTAGCAAGCACACTAGCAAGCAGTGAAGTCCGAGACATCAGTGTTGCCACAACTCACCCGCCTATCGTAAGTCTTGACATGTTTATTATTTTAAGAGTCACAAATTTCTCCCAGAATCAGACTGTACTGACTATAAAAAACTCTGGTCAGCTGTTTTTTTAAAATGAACATCTACTTCTTAATGGCAAAGGGAAGATGTTTGAAAACTCAAACCTTAAAAACGGAGACAGCAGGAAGTAAAAAACATATTCCAAGGTTTTCATTCAGGTTTGTTCTGTAAAGCTCAGGATTTAGAACCAAATCTGATAATTTTTGGGCATCTTAACTACATGTACTCAGACTAACAGACTGCTCTCAGTTCACGAAGGTTCTTTTCCTGGTTCTGCCAGTAACCTGCTGTGTAACCTTGGGTTGTTCTCTCTTCTCTGGGCTCTTCCTTCTTTTTCCTCTCTGCCTTCCTTGTCATTGTTTGGGTCACTACAATTCTGACCCTCTGAAGCTCTAAACATGCACCTTGACATGTTGTAAGTAGTCCACTAAAATGTATGGGACTACCCACAGAGAACATTTGTACACATAGGAGTATAATATATAAAAATATATATATACATTTTACAATAGCGTTTTATGTATGTATGAAAACACACCAAAACAACTGAAAGCTAGTTATTTATCTGTATCAGTTACAACTACACACTATTCCTTTCTTTGGACATCTCCATTGTCAGCTCCTATTCTGTTTGTTATCTAGAGAGATTCATCTTATGGGGCACACAGTACCATATCACAGTGCAGCTCCAAGTTTAGGTCTCCTTTATTAGTATGAAGTCGCACATAGCCCTTCTTCTTCACGTATTTGTATCTCACAACATCTTCTTCAATCGCAGCTGTATCAAAGCAGAAGACAATAATTAGCTCTCTTGAAGCCTACTCACTGATCCTTAGAAATCACCAGAAAACAAATTGCTAGTTTCTACTGTCTGACCTCTTCCCCTGGGGTACCAGGTCTTCAGGGATTGTACTCTTCAATTAATCTATGATAACCTCACATTAATCTCTGTTCAAAATACTTTCTCTTATAGAAAACCACCAACTCCTTGAGAGCCAACAATATCATCTATATTTTTAAGTTACAAAAGCATTCAATACTACAAACTATAATTTTCAAGTAATGTCTACCAATCATGAACATTAGTTTGAAACCAAACTGTTCGTCAAACTTGGAAGCCAAGCAGGTAGTCATCAGTCAACCACAAATTGCTGACATATGAGGACCTACCCAGTTCTGACAACAAATGAAGCTAAGTTACTGGAAACATTACTGGAAAGTCAAACCAAAGGATCAATCTAGACTGTTTACATTTCCATTTTGTCAAAATATCCAGTTCGTCAAATATTTTCAACACTCACAGATTCACCTGCAAATCACTGTAATCCACCAAGCAAAGGAACTGAACGTGGTAAACGCAGTTTTAGCAATGTATTCAATCTTTGCCTAAGTGTGTGACATAAATTTTAGTGCCTAAAGCCAGACCTTTCTCTTCAGCTGGGAATACTAATCGCTCAGCTATTTTATCGATATTCAAATTAAACAAATTCTATACATTTGTGTTTAAGCAGGAGAATGAAAGGAAAACTTTATTGTACTAAAATGCATTTTTATGTAACCTTGAAAAGCAGTAAATCAAAAGTTTTCACCACAAAATTTGCTGTCATTCTAACCAATACCAGCTCAGGCCAAAAAGGTGGTAAAGATTTTGTATGCTATTTGAGGAGAGATTACTTTATTTCTAACTTACATAAGTGGATATCCCATTTTGTGGTCCCTGGGCACAGAAAATACCTCATTAATTTCAGTTCAACATAAGTAATAGCCATTCAAAGCTGAAGCTAATTCATAATTGCTCCACTATTTTCAGAATGAGCTCACTGGAAAGTAAGGATATATCTGCTCAGGGAATATATTTCCATGGCATCATTACTGACCAATTTTCAATGCATTCTTTCAGTCCTCAAAAACGTATGTGTGCTAGGGAGCACACTTAAAAACTGGAAAGTCAACAATCAGCTTGTAGCTAGGTAGTTCTGGTACCTGCTTCATGTGTAGTTTGAGGCACCATTGCAGTGGAAGTGAAGGAAGCGCTTACTGCTCCAGTGGAATAGTGAGCCTGTTAGCAGAGGAAAAAGCAAGAGAAAAAGACGTTACATCTTAGAATTTATCTACTAAAGATACTATATAAGCACTAGAAACAGACAAAATATCCTTCTGAAGGAAGACTTTCTGCTCTAGCTCCTATAGAAAGAAACAAATACACGATGCAGTGATAATTCTCCATCTGTTACCCACAATATCTGGTCTAATGAAACTCTAGTTAAGGCTGCCCACATGCTGAGCTGAAGGAGCTTATTGCTTCACTATAGTTTAATACATCATTATGCAAAGATTCTATTATCAGAATTTATCCATATGTCCACAGGTGGATATATGAAAGGACTGCTGCAGGCAAGACATCTGTAAAATTCTCCAAGATTGTTGAGTAAGTGGAAGGAAAATCCAGTGAACCACAGAGACACTGTGGAGGGAAGCAAACCACCCCCCCTCCCACACGGCCCTTCTGCGTGCAGAGGCACAGTCCCATGGCTCCCAATGTCTATTCTGAGCCTTGCGATTCTCCTGCAGAAAGGAAATGTGAATGTCACACATGGATTTTGTAGTAAATTACAAAGATCTAATAAATCTGGGGATACATTTAGCGGCTCCGGGGCAACACCTGTAAAGAACACAGGTCAGGCCAATGCTCTATCCATAAGGTTACACTGCATCCTGTGCAAGTTTACAGTCATGCCCTTCCACGTCATTAGTTGACAACCTGACACTCCAACATGTGTAGAGTTCATCGTTGTCTCTCACCCCTTTTTTTTCTCCCTACATCTTTTGTTTTCTTGTAACACTGTGATGTCCTGAAAAAGGGGCAAATGTGATCCTACTCCTTGGTCACATACAATCGCTAAACTGTCACTAAGCCTCCTCATTAAAAGCCATATGCTGCATTGCTATTCGTTTTCGTGTAAGTGTAATCAAAGCATGAAGACACATACATCCCAGAATTATTAAAGGAAAGAAGAATACTCTGTCCTGCCCATTTCAAGCAGCCTTTGATGTAGGAAATCTAGATGCAGATGAACTGCTTCTCTTGACAACCATGAACACACAGTAACATGAACCTAGAAGAACATGCTTTAAAATATTTCACTAAAAATCCTGCATTCCAGTGGAAAAAAATGGACAAGCAGCTGTGGATCATCTATACACTTGCCCACACCAGAAAAGATTCACTTGCACTGCCCTTAAGGTGTGTTCTCTCTGCCAATAACTGCAGGAAGCAGTGATAAGCAAATTCAAAGCAAGAGATTATAACCTGGGAAAAAGGTTCTGCCAACATACACATCATAACCACATCACAAAGATACCTCCTTCTTATTGTGCTTCACTTCTGAAATGTTTAGGTTCATTTATGATGACTTAATAAAGAGAAACTCATTGACACATACAATGTATTTCTAAGGAATCCCAATGCGATTCTTATATTTTCATCTATGACTAATTCCCATGTAACAGAAAACATAAGGAATAGTGTCTGTTTATACTGCAACACGACCTCTAAGCTGAAAAACATCTATTACCATTCTTGAAGGAGTCAATTGGTGCCAAACTAAAAATTAAGTCAACTCACGGCATTCAGCTTATCCACTTTCTTCTTTTCAGGAGCCTTCATAGTAGCTGCTAGAATATCATCACCTTTGAATTCCTTATAAAGCTCCAGTAAAGTCTCTCGGGTCTCCGTATTTGTATTTTTCAAATAGTAAGATGGATCTAATTTTGCTTTTTCTTCATCTAGATAAGACAAAGTTAAATCATTCAGGGTTAAAAGAAAAATTCTCTTTTATTCTCCTTCAGTTTATTACATATCTAGTCACACAAAAATATTTCAGATATTTCTTTTTTTTTAAAAGGTGTAGTAACTATATTTATTCCTGCAGAAACAGTAACAAATAGCAATGCATACCACTAATGACAGCATAACTTGAAATATGGCACAATAAATGCCAATATGATGAAGTATAACAAAAGAAAAAAACAACTTTGAATCAACTACTGCAAAAATTTACTTGAAACCACTATAAACTATCTAAGTTCATGCAAATCTTGTAAAATTATTACAGAACAATAAAGACAAGATACAGTTGGGAACAGCATAAATTTCTGTCCTTTGTCTCCTCACCGAATGGTCAAGCCTGTGATGCAAAAATCCCAAGACCAGATCTTTAATGTGATACTGAGGGAGGAGGTTAGTGGACTAGACTGCAGAATTTGATTTTTTTTTGTAATTTAATTTTTTTATTTTTACAAGTTTCACTTGCTTTCTGTCTTGGTATGCCTAATATTTGCTGGATATTAAACATTCCATCTCTGAGACAATACCCACTTATTTTTAGTGGGTAAATAGAAATAAAGATGCTTGCTTGCAAAACTAGTAGCTATTCAAATAAAATAAAATTAAAAAAAAAAAAGAGATGAGCATAAGACCCAGAAAAACATATGGTTAGAATCAGTAATTAGACCTCATTAGAAACAGTTCTAAAGGAAACCACAGGGGCAAAGGAGAGAATTTTTTTCCTTCAGCAACTTAATATCACCAGATATTACTAAGCATTTAGCTATCAAAGAATCACAAAAGAATTGAGGAGCAAATTTCTTAGTTGTGCTATTTTTTATTATTAAAATAATTTTGGAACTGTTTTAGAAAAATCTATATCAATCTTTAACTTGGAAGATGTCCACTGTTATCCAGACAGAAGGATGGGCAATACATGGTTGATACACATGAAAGAGAGCCTAGCAGACAGGTATGAGAAGATGCAGGTTTCCTTGTCTTGGTTCTGGTACAAGGCTAATGAACTTTCTGGCAAATTATTTTTTCTTTCTCTTCCCACTTCTCTCTCATCTACCTACTCTTAAAGGAAGCGGAAAGCTTTCCATGTTTGCACAGCACTCAATAAAGACAGTTTCTCAAAGAATCATGTCTTTACTTGAAAATTTGTTAACACCTTTTGATGTGAAAGGGAAAGTTTCAACAAGTTATTCATGTTTCCAAGAATCTTTCAAAGTTACCATTAGCCACCAAGGGACGCCCATCCAGAAAACAGTGTCAATTCCATAACATCATCTTTAGAATTTGTGTATTTGGGTTGTTGTTTTCTTAGCCTACCTCCAATTCATCCTTACCTGGATCAATTACTTTTATATTGTTCTTAACATGAAAGAAGTTCGAGACATTGAACTTATCCAGGTTTGTTGGATCCTGAAAATCATAATTAAAAACCCAAATATTAGAGAGCTTGGTAGGCACCCATTTCATGCAACAGACTAGTTTGAAGGGCAGACACCACTACAGTAAAACAATAGGGAACAACAGAATAAATTCCATACCCGCCAAACCACAGAAAGATGAAAAAAATATAAAGCAATCAACTCGAACCGACATCAGCAACGAGCCTATTCACAGTAGGCTCCTTAGGGAGTTTGGAATTGGGTCCCAAACACAATTTTACACATATTTTACCTACAGAAGTTACTAACACAACTAAAATGAGTCTACCCTATCCTAGTGAGAATAAAGAACGAGGAGCTGCAATCCCTGGATTCTTTCCTTCTTTCTGTGGTTTGGTCTAAGAACTATGCAAATTCATGTTAGGAAGCTCCTATTTATAACAGTGTGCCTGATTTGCACATGCTCTGCAATCTTCTGTAATGCATTTCAAAATACTAATAAACCTAAGAGCAAGTCTTTGCAGTCAGAACTGTTTTGATTGGGGTTTTTTTTTAATAGTGAAATCTGAGCTCACAGCATTATGTCAAAAAAAAAAAAGCAACAAAAAGGAGTATTATGAAAAATATATTGAGTGACCACTCAAGGAAAACAGCAAAAATACACAGTCCGTTAACTGTGAGTCTTTACACTATTTCTAGGCACCTTTCTGCATAACTTTGACCTTTTGTTAGAGAGAGTGAGTCAATGAATGCCTATTAGTAATCTAGATTACATTACACTATTATTAAACAGTCCTTAATCCTCTTCTTACAATGACTTCCAGGTTTTCTCCTGAAGCTTCTCTGAAGCACAGAAAGGTCAAAACATCAGCCCAGGCCACTCAGTCATTTCTGGAAATTCTATCTTACAGAAAACAACTCAAAATCTAAAATACCAAAATATCTTAATAATAGGCAATAGTTTCAAGTTCAGGATAAAAATAAGGCAACATATTATCCAAAGAACTACGACACTGACATGAGTAGTATTAGCCTAACTAAATTTAACAAAGCTTCTCAGACCACCACCGTTGGTAGGAAGTTCTGACAATTCCATCTCTGCTAAAAGTAATGATTAATGCAAGCAGAGCTGGTAGCTCCATCACTTGTTAAATGATCTAACTATGCCTTTCATTTATCCCTGAAATGGTATGCTTCAACCAGAGAGTGCATTTTTAGTTTTACTGCTGGTAGTAAAACCAAAATATGCTTATGACAGCAAGCTGTGCGATTCTGCACCCTGATGATGACCTCCTGGCTTTCTGCTGTCCCCTTTCCCAACCACCATGTAATCAGTCTCTGTTGTTTCCTGCCCCACTATAGCCCTCCTATAGGTCTTCATCAGGACAGACAGGGACTGCCGAAAAAAAAAAAAATTTACCTTCAAATTCTTGCATTAGAAACAGATCATCTTTAAATAAAACTACTAAAGAATAGGAAATTTAGACCTGATTTTTAATAATTTTTGTATCTTCTGACACCAGCACACAGGTGTATTTATTATTTATTACCTCACATGCATATTTATATATGTATGAATGGACATAATTTCAGCCTTGCTCTCTGACAGTCAACAAGATGCATGGAGACAGGGCTCAGTGTGTTTCCAGAAGACGCAGGTTGCCTCCTCCCAAACACTCTTCAGTTATCATGAGCTGCAGCTTTCCCAGCCAGAAATCATTGCCTTGCACATAAATGTACCACCTCAAAAGGCGAAGTAAGAAAGTCTGCCTACCCTTTCCAGGAAACGGAAAAAAAATAATCTGTGTATTAATATTAATAGAGACAAATGGATTTACAGCAATCCACATGTCTGCTGTTCACAGTAAAGCTGAAGGGCAAGACTGACTCCTGAAACCGACTTTTCACAGATGGGAGGGAGGCCGGAAGACAGCCGTAAAGATGAACCAGAAAACACCTTCAGTATATTCCTCTAAATAAAGCTGCTTGATTTACTGATTTATTGATTGTTTAAAAAGAAATAAAAGGACATCACAACCGCCAGTGCCTTATGAAACCAACTGGCTTGTGCTCAGGGGTACCAGATTAGTCCAAACTGTTTCACAGTCGTAGTTCATTCAAACATTTAACCACCTTAACCAGCGTAATTGCAGGTGCTGAGCAACTCTGGCAAAAATGTTTAGAGTCTCCTTCCCTGCAAGGGATTTTTCAGGGCTCTCCAAATCACCGCTAACCTTCCCATAGGCATCACACCCATTATGGTAGGAAGGACAGCAGAGGCCACAGGGCAGCTCCCTCTCCTTGCAGACCACAGCCGCGGTTTCTGCTTTCTCAGAGACCCGCCAAAGCCCAGAACTGAGACCAAGGTCCTTCGCACAAGGTCCTTCGTCACATTCAGGTGGACCACTTATTCAAATGGAAACCTCGACAAAGGTTTGATGTGCAGTGTTTTCCTTTGTGTTCCTGATTCTGCGAAGCAGGAGTCTCAAGTCTCACCAGGCGTGGAGGAGGCAGACAAGCCACGCACCTACTCCAAAACCAGTTTCCCTCTGTCAGTAAAAAAAACCCTCAGAAATGGTTTCTGAAGTTGAAATTTGAGTGTCGTCTTACACAGGACACCTAGGACAAACAGTCGACTGATTGATTCCTCCCTCCCAAATACAGCATCATGATACACTAGAAGCTTGATTAGAATTAGTTTGATTAGAATTAGACAAACGCGCATACTAAGTGTGACAGTACTGTGGTGAATATTAACTTAAACACCAGACTCCATTTGCTTCTACTATCCCCAAGAGCAGAAACACATCTGACCAGTCCAAGCTGTGTTGCAGAGGACACAAACCATTTCCTTACTGATGGTAATGAGGCCGACAACACAAGACACCCCTTTTTTTAAGGTATGTCTCTGTAAATTAAAAAAGCGCGCATATTTTTCAGACATATCACTTCAGGAAGAAAATTATCTAAACATTAATAACTAGCCTGCCAAGTTCCTCTCGTTGCATCCCTGACAGTTACTGGGCACAGAATCACAGCAGTTCAACCGAGACACTGCAGGGACAGCCAGACAGACACACTGACGTCGTCAAAGCCTTGAGCTCTAATGAATTAACAGCCACTCATGGTCAGAGAAAGGCAGGACCCCCAGCCCTGTTAAGATTAAGGCCTGAAGCCCAAAGGCCTAAAGAAATAAGTTCTCTGAAAGCACACAGAAACCAGAATGGAAGATGAACCATTAAGAGTAAATTGGCCTACTTTTGTTTGTCTTAGCATGTTTAAAAATATGTATTCAAATTACCACGGGTAGCAGTCTCGGGGTCTTTCTTCTTAAGGTTACAAACCATAAACTGAAGTTTAGCAAATTACTAACACAGATACAGAATTCAAGGGGTTGCGAACTATCATAACTATTAGAAGTCTCGTATTTGACGTTTTCTTGAAAGCTGAGCTCTGAAAACAATCTCAAGTTTTATTCCACTTTTTTTTTCCCCCCCTATCATTTTCCTGTTCCACCAACTTAGGGAAACAGCTTAAACTCCGTTAACCTTAAGCACCAAACCCACAACCCTGCAAAAGAGCAGGTTAAAACCAGTGCAGTTTTAGACTGGGTGATTTCTTTGAGGCCTGATTATTCTCTTACCATTTGGTCGGCCATGCTGCATCCCTCATTATCTCCAGGACCGTTACCTTCATATGCTGACCACATCCCAGTGCGTCACTACTTTACCAGCCACTCTGCACACACTTTGGTGAAGGATTCACCCTCCAAGAGCCCTCACGCACAACCGAGAGGAAATCTGCTCTGACCTTCTGTCACACAAAGAGCAAACGAGAAATAGCTGAGGAGTGAAATATCAATTAACAGTGTGCACCTCAGCTACCTCCAACTTAGCTCATTAGTTATGCTTCCTGCCACAAATGCCAATGGTGTTTAACAGCTTGTCAGGAACCATGTCTTGTCCACGGCTGATTAGGCTGTACAGAAACAATAAAATTGACATAGGGAAGCACATAACAGTAAAAGCCTTTTTTTTTTTCCTTTAACGACAGCAAATCTCTTTGCATTCTACCCTGACTTTTTTTTTGTCTACTTATTTCTCCCAGGAACCCCCCTCCATTTCTGTGGTGCAAAGCAGATGTATTTGTTAGTGTGCATCTGTCAGGGAAGGCTCTTGGCAGGCTGCCATCAGAGAACTGTGCCCATCACCACTGGCACAACAGGCTTGGGGGGGGTTATTGCAATTGATCCCGCGAAGAGGAACAAACCACCTCTGCCTCTGCTTTATCTGCAAGCACTGCTGTTGAGCGGAGCCACACTTCTCACTAACTCCCCTCCCCTGCCAGCACACAGCCCAGCAATAGCTTCTGAGAGTTTCCAAGAGCAGGAATAATTTCTTCTGTATCTTCACAAACTTGAGAGCCGTGGTTTCTAGTTTGTGAACAGAGACACAGTGGAGGATAAAGAATTGATAGGGGTATAAAGGGGAAATTGTTCTTAGTTCCTCTGGACACTTCCTACCAAATGGGATGTGAAACCAGGGTAGTGCAGCATTCTTCCTTTGGTCTCCTGAGTACCCTCTCACACTTGTTGTGATGGGAAGAAGTCCGCAGGGCTGTCAGAGCCACCACTGTGTCCAAGAAGGCACTACCTGACCCTGTTCCTCTCTGCGCATCTTGAGCTGGGGCAGGCGCTTGCTTCAGTCTGCCCATGTTACAGGAGGGAATCTAGATTATACTTCTATGTGCTTGTTATTAAGTTTCACCTCATTACACAATGAATAATTTGCAAAATATATGATTGAAACACACATGAAATTTACAGTGACGCTAATTAATAATAATTTCTACCAGACTGTTGACCAGATTTTGTCACAAAGATTAAATGATGGACAGCAGACCTTGAGATCTAACACTGAATTACGCTCCCCAAAAAATTTACTTGGAAGATAACTTCAAATTAGGTTAAACATTTAGATTGAAAACTAGCTGAAAACCTGCAAAACATAGGACTGAAAGAATCATCTAATTCTGAACTGTAGTCTAATGCAATCTTACAATGTCAAAACTCTTTCAAAGCTATACTGAAACCTACCTTTAAAACAATTGCAAAGTGAAATAGTGAGCAGCAACATACCAGAATGGGAAGCAAAAAAGGAAGGCAAGAACACTGCAAACAAGCTTCAACAGTACCAGCCTTCCTACTACAGATACCCTGTCCCCACAGGTCTCTCAGAGCTTTACATCATAGCTTATCCATTAAGTATAACTAATAAATCTTGAAGTACTTCAGCTGTCTGTCAGCTGGTAGTACATTCATGATGTATCCAAGGGACACTAAGTTAGGCTGAGCTGATCATCATTCAAGGTAAAAGAATACAAGTGGGTTTAGAGTCAGGAGAAAACCAGACAAAACACAACAGCAAGATTCCATTTACAAGAGATAGGAGCTAGTACAGTTGAGAGAAAAACTATCTGAAATAATGATAAACTGTAAGGAAAGACAAACTTGGAAGAAAGTAACACCTGCACTGTAGAAGATGGAAAGCTTGACTTGAGTTTGTGGCAAAATCACACAGCTAAGAAAACGAAATTCCAGCTTCAGGGTAAAAAGCTACAGCCCATAAAGTCCAGTCATACTAAGATTGCTGGTGTCTAGGAAGGGTTTCATGTGGAATAATGTCACATGTATTTGTCGTTATCAGCAAGATATTTAACCAGCATCCATGACATCTTTGGCCTGAATAACTACACTCCAGTTTTAGTACTGTATCTTGCACACCAGGATATGATATTATTCTTTACCTCGTGCCCTGAGGGGCTGGATAATATTGTCATATGCTGATGAAAAGCTGCCATGCTCTACCCTAGGATATTTGCATTTCAACGGGGGAAAAAAGCAATTTCTGTATATGTAAGTGCAGGAACTACTGTGGATTCCTTTACAAAGAGAACCACATCATAGGTCTAAGATAGTGTTATTAACAACTAATTTGTGATTTTGTTTTTTTTTAGTTCCAGACTCAAAATAATTTGTCCTTTTTAACAAGTAAACTTCATAGCAGTAGGACACAAATAACTATCACTAAAATCAAAGCAACCAGCTGAGATAGTGCTCACCAGAAAAGATAACAGGGATGGATTACGATTACTGTTTGAATAGCACTGTTTAGCACTGAGAACAGAATGAAGAATTTTATGCAATTCCATCTCTTCTGAAAAGAGCAAAATTTTTGGTTTAGTTTTTAATTATATACATTAGAAGAGAGAGGTTAAGTTTGAGGTCAATTGCTATGCTGGTAAAAGAACATCCCTAGCAGCTGTAGGCCCTTTATGTATCAATACGGAAAAAATGTGATCATACAAGTAATCTGTAAACATACATTATTCAAATTTTCCATTTATCATGTTGTATTTCACTACCAAACACAGGTACCCATCTGCGTCCTAGGACGTTCAGAGTCAGTCTTTGGAAATGCTATTTTCTATTGATAAACACAGCTACTGCAGACAGTCCTATTCAGCTGTTATTTGCAAAGCAAAGGATGTTTTTTATAGCAACTTCCTTTATATCTACCTTTTTGCCAAACAGCAGGGTCAGCGTTACCAACTCACTCTCAATTCCAGCCCTCTCAGATACCACAGTACCCAGTTTACATGAGGGAATGGGAAAACGACAGTGATAAATTTCAACACAGAACTGAAAGGATTTTTAGAGAAGCAGGATTTGGGATAGAGCTCTAGAGCCACAAATTGAAACACAACAGATTGCAGTCACAAACTCTGGCTAAGAAACAAAGCCACAGGTGGTAGAGCTTGGCAGTGTGAAGCCACCACGCCGCCTGCAGTGCTGTCAGTCAGACAGCTTACAGAGGAGACACTGGTCTGTCTTTTAACAAATTACACAAAGAAAATACTGTGAGAATATAACAACAGATTCCTATACCACATATACATAAACAATTTTAATGCCCAGGCTAGTCATACCACTTCAGGTTGCCTCAGCGAAGCAAGTCAGGGTAGGGCAGCATTTGAATAGGAGAAATCAAAGAATACTTGCAAGTTTGCAGTGGGTGTTGTGCAGTGCATTAAATGGCTCTTACTTCTCATGCAACACCCCGAAGCCATTTTAGCCTGTTTGTAGAAAATCCTTCTTTGAAAAAAATATTTAAGAACTAATTGGGTGAAGGGTGAAACTTTAGCTGGTTAACAACACATTCAGATGGTCAAAATCAGTTCCAGTTCAATCCCAAGATGGGGGAAGCTTCGCTATAGCTAAACTTATTTGAGAAGAATATACGACAAGATTGTACACTACAGAAGTTCAGTTAACACGAATCCATAATGAGTTGTTTACTTAAGAGGAACAAATCTACTCACGCATTACGAATGTCACCCTAAATGGACGTGAGAGGTACAGGTGATGTATGGCTGTGACCTCTGTGTATCTGGCAGGATGACTGTACCAGTGACTGGGCAACTATCATCATCTACTCAGTTTCTGTTAACAGACATATTCCTCCAAGCAAGACAGAAACCCAGCATGTCAAGAACAGAATGAAGGTGAAAATATTGATAAAAATTCACACAGGGAGCATCTAAACTGCTAGCTATTGAATTTTGAAATTTAGGGGACTACAGCATCTGTATGCTTTTATGAAAAATCAAAGCTAGGTGTGCAACAGGAACACACTCTTTATACATATACATTCAACTCCAAACCCACAAAACATAACAAAATATTTTTAAATTACTGCACACTTCAATTATTTGTTCAGAATAATTTGGTTTTTCACACTGATGCATGAAACATTTTCAGTCACTCCTGTTGTGTTTTTTTACCATTCCAAATCCTTTAGCAACCATGCAGTTACGTTCAAATAACATTCTGTTAGAAGCTTTCAATCTGAAAAAGCTACGTTTTTTGCTTCCATTGGATTAAAAACATTTTACTTTTTTGCATTAGCTTGAACAGCCAAAAGCCCAAAAGAACAGATGAAAAATATTTATAAACATGCTGTTCAGCACTGGGGAGTAGGGAAGAAGAGACATAATTCATTTAAATTTAGACATAAATGAAAAATATTTTTCTATTCAAATTAGACTATATTAGTCTTGGTTAGTGGCAATCAGCTGTTCATGAGATGCATACTAACTCATGACTCCAATAATAATGATCCTTGAATCTACCTTGATGCCTACTTATAAACAAAAGTTTTAGATCTTTTGATACTAAACTTCATCTGTAAATAACCAGCTTTTACAATCTGAAATTTACAATGTTGTTTTAATTTAGGTTTTAATTCTGTTAAAATCAGTAAAAAAAAAGATTGGTATCTGCTGAGAAGAAAAGCATATTAAACAAGCACTTAAGGAAAATCCTCGTTTGCTGCTTATTTCACTCTACATTTAGAGAAACATTCTACAAAAAAAAGTTCTTCTGAAGCTTTGACTCTTTTAGGCATCTTCAAAAGAGTAAGATGGACAATCAACTTCAGTTTTAGTGTAACATGTCAACTTCCTAAAAGTTTATATAATTTACATTCTAAACCTCATTTCTCTTGATAACATAGACCACGTACTGTCGGCTGTCTAGAGCTGAAGGTGATTCTGAACATCTCTTTACCATTCCTCTATCCAGTCTTCTCCCAATGCACTTCTGTTAAGTCTCTCAATAAATCAGAGGTGTCACAGGAATTTTTCAGGTAAGATTAACAGAAAAAAACCCAAAAATCTCATGTGTAGTTTCGTATCTAAAACTTACAATTATGCACAAGATGTTATATTCAGTCGGATACAGTGAAACAGTGAGCAAAAGCAAATACACTTGTCAAATTTCACAGTTTTACATGACGTTCTTGACTTTTTCTGGGCACCTTTTTTTTTTTCCCCTTCAATTTACAAAGTTGAACAACCTGCTTATCTACAAGGCACAAAATAATCACTCTAGAGATTTGTCAAGCTTTAAGTTTTATGGCATCTTTGCGGCTCATCTGAATAACAAAGAAACCACAACAGTTCCCCTTCTCCCCAAAGCTGTATAGTAAGACATGTAACAGAGAGAAAAGTTTACCTGCAGTGTCACAATATCTTGTCGAGTGAAGGGCTCATCTGTCAAGAGATCCTTGTAGCTCTTCGGTTTTATGTTCAGCTGCTCAACTGCCTAACAGCCAGGCAAAAGAAACAGATATTAAAAATTGGATTCTAATATGTAAATATCACAAGTAAATATGTGATACCAATAAAACCTTAAAGTATAAATGAGAAAGAAAACTATGTCACCCTTCATTGTCAACTGGCAGCTGCAATATTTTCATTGTGTGCTTTAATAGACAGCAAGCTTTTGTCTTTTATCCCTACAAAACTTCACAGTTTTGTGTGATTTGTTTTTTATTTTTAAAAAAGAACCTTACAGACTCCATTTCATAGTTATGCATATCATTTTAACCAAATTCATCATAAAAGTACTGCCAAAAAAAAGAATAATCTTCCTTGCATTTTTCTAAGTGAAGTATTTTACAGATGGTGTAAGACAGACAGCTTTAACAAGGGGTCCATATCTCTACCCATCGGGGAGACACACGTGTGTCCCAGGCCAGTTCATACAACTGTGGAATTGCATTAGACCCTCACACTCTGCCCATCCCAACTGCTGCACCAAGCCTGCAGCAACACTTCTGTTCACCTGAGAAAATTAAATTATGCTCAACAAAGCAGCAGCGTGTTATTTCGTAGTGAGAATCAATGTGGAATAAATGCTTTGTCGTTACAAACAAATACATCATGCAGAGAGACGACTATGGAGATCTACTTGAAAAAAGACTGAATCTTTCTTGTTCACCCAAATGTCCTCTGTTCTCCTCAGATGAAAGTGATAATATTTTTCTAGTACCTCCAGAAGTCCATAAATTAATTCTGTGCTTATAGCAAACCGATAAATGCTATTGCTTCAAGTGGTACGCCACATGAGAAACTGACTCTCTCAACACAACTTGTTTAGGAAGCCTGGTGTTATAAATCGCAGCAAACTGAGCAATAGCTTTACAGTATTGGCAAGCATTTAACAAAGACTACTCTTAAACTCATTCTTGCCTTTTAACCACAGCAATCAAAGCATCATGCTTCCAGAAGGAACAGAAAATACTTTCTATTTTAACCTAATCTTGACTGCTCTCACAGCTGGAATGAAGACAGTTCAACTACAACAGAGCAAGTTTTCAAAAATGTGATGAAACTTTTTCCTTGATTGCAAATTGTTTCAGCTTGTTTCTTTTTCAGTATCCAAAAGTCCTAATGGAATTTCCCATCAACAGATTTCAAAAAGCAGATACTTCAGTGTTCGGACTTTTTACAACACTGGATATGGATCCATTAATTGAAAGATTTATTAGCTACTGAAAAATAAATAAACCTTGCTTTTATGGTAAGGATTATGCAAACAAATCACAACTAAAATTCCACCTGGGTTCACACAAATGTTCACAAAACAGAAATAAAATGCACTTGAAGTGTCAGTTAAGGCATTCTCTCTGATATTTTCCCAGCTCCAGCTAAAGTACTCTTTTTTTATTCATGGGTATGCATAGAAATGAGACAATTTGTGTTTTGGTGATGACTCTGTATCAGAAGAAGAAAACAGAAGATTTGTCTGTTAAGTCAACTGAGGAGCATATAAAAGCTACTCATTTTGGTCTACAAGATTCAGTGCGTGCAGATAAACTTAGGAAAAGGTTTTAAAAATGCCTTTTAAATCATACCCTAGGGTTGTTCATATCTTGAATGCAAAAGCCAGACAACAATTTGTAAAGTCAGTTCATCAGTACTTTAATTTCCCTGGCTGTAGAACAAGAATAAAATATACCTACCTTTCTAAAGCACTTTGTGATCTTAAATGAAATGCATCAAGTATAAAATACTACTCATAAAATGCAACAGAGAACCTACCTCATAGGCAAACACATTTCCAGTTGTCTTGATGGCCACAATGTGAGAGTTATTGGTGAATACAGTAAACAGCACTGGACAGTGGTATTTACCTGATGGGAGCGGAAAAAAGTTTACATTTGGCATGAAGTGCCTGCAACTGTTTGGAAATAGCTAATTTCTGTTATCTCTGTGAAGGACATTTACATTAATTTTTAATATAAAGTGTAACTTCAGTGTGTATTTAACAGTGTTTTAACTACGCTTTGATTCTTCAGTGCCAAATAGAAAAAGTAACTCTTAAGAGAATTACAATGCAAGCAATGAATATACAGTTTTGAAATCTACTGCCTTCAATCCCCCAACACAGAACTTTGTCCAACTTGCTTGAGATCTATGAAGTAGCACCATGTAATTGTTATTGCTGTAATCAAACTTTATTGATAGCATGAGCCTGCACCTTGTAACATGCCCAGTGCTCTATTTTCAGTATTGTTCCCAGGAATAAAGGTTTAGCTTACACCCTACAACAAAGTTCATAGCAGCTGTTGTGCTTTTAGAAGACGAGAGCATTTTGTATTCAAATGTGGCAAGCAGAATCCCATTAAATCCGAACACGTTATTCAATAAGGAACCCAGCTTCTGCTCTAATCAAGCTGTGAATTTTCCCAAGAGGGTCAGCATAAATATTAAGCCTGTCAACAACAAGCAAACCGATGGAAGGCAATGTACAAGAAAAAAGAAAAATGTATGGATGATCTCAGCAGAAAGCAATTAGAAGAAGGTTATTAATAATTTGTCAGTTTGCTAGACTGGGGCTTTAGGTGAGATTTTTTAAATAGGTGGGCCTATTTGGCTCTTTTATTCCTAATTACTATCTGAAAATCAAAACCAGTAGGGAGACCAGAACAGAGACTGCTCACAGCACCTGCAAAGATGGGAGAGGGAAGCACCTACAGAGTATTTACCGGTAACTGATGAGCCAGAGGAGGCAATTTGACCTCCAGCATGCAGATGCAAGTAAAAGCTGAGGACTGTTTCTGTCATGCCACCAGAGCTGAAGGAAAGCCATATCACAAGGGTCTGAAATTCAAGAGGAAGTTTAGAAAGGGATTTTCGGAAGAGGCATCAGGGTATGGCCCAACTGATAGATACAGAAACATGCTGGTAAAATCTGAGGCCTCACTACAGCTGCATAAAAAAGAGCAAATCACCATGTTTTCATTTCTAGCAAAAGCAGAGCTGCTGAGGGCGCACACTTGATGTGGATAGCAGGTACTCAGCTAAGGAGGGATCATTAAATGGAAGAAACCGCAATATCTGAAGACCTTTCTTACTGTATAGGTGTGAACAGAGAAGATCCTACGCACATAGCAACCACTCTACATGTTAAGATTTAAAGAAAGGTTTGCTGATAGACAGAAATGCAACATCTTACTCTTCCTCTTTTGTTGCATCTTCTTTTCATCTATTAACGACACAGCATGCACATTTTTAAGAAAAAGGCTTATGAGACTGCATGGCTGCCATCATTCTACCCCAGCATTATGAACTGAACTTCTTTAAGGAAAGCACAATAACACAGTATCTTTCAAAAACCTTATCCACAGTGACTACTGATCACTTTTTAACACCCTGCTCTTGAGACAGATGGAACACAAAACACAGAAGAAATCCATCAGCTAGAGAAACGACCTTGTAAGTCTATGGACTTCGATAAGATAAGGAGACAGACACTCCAGAATTTTATTCCCACATAATCCTTGCCACTCTCATTTCAAATAAATCATCATCTGCCTTGTAAAAGATTAATTCATCTCCACTCTTTTATTCCTAGCATCCTCTCCTAGATGGCAGATTTTACATCTTTAACCCTATAGAAATAAAACTCAAAGCTGCTTTCTTGTGTGCTGCTTTTCGTCAAATCCCATGTGTTCATCTAAGTCTAATTAATTTTATAAACAAAATGTTCATCAAAACTGAGTAGCAAATAATGCCACAGGCAATTTAGAAAAAAAGATAATATCTTATAGAAATTTAGCCTTTTGCGAATTTTTTCCTTAAACAGTACCTTACTGCAGCAGCAGCTATAGTAAAGTGAAATTGATTAGACCTCGCCAGCGTAAAGAAAAACAGAAACAGAACTTTAAAGGTAAACATGTCACTCACAAGTAGCAGTTATCCTACTCAAAAAATAAAAACCATGATAGAGAACACAAACTACACAACTTTACAATGAGTAAGACAAACCAGGATTTATTAAGGCACTCTAAGAAAGTAAAAAAAAAACCCACAGAAAATCACTGCACTTACCTTCACTGTTTTTAGCAAAATTCAGCTTTATAAGTGATTTGGCATCTAGTTTCTAAAGAAAACGAAATATTAAAAAAATTAATCACAACAGAATCTAACCCTGGAAATAAAAGGAAACTGTAACATCAGTGTTAGAATTTTAGTAGCATATAATTTATTAATAATACATTGCAAGTTGTCTGAATCATCAGAACCCTGGGAACTTAAGTCACAGACAGCCCACAAAAACAAGGCTCACCGAGCCTGAGAACTGGGATACCTTTATTTACAGTGGTGTAGTTTGACACAGTGCAGCGCTAAGCAGAATGAATAGGTTTGAGAAGCTGCACAACCCTGTCTCAGCACAAACCAAAAGGGGAGTCTGCATGAAAAGCTAAGAGGCAAAGATCATCGCTGCTGATCAGAGGTGACAATTCAGAAGGGACCTCTGATGAAAATCATAAAGCCAGCAAACCATTCTGGCGATCTAGCTCTCTACCTTTTCTGAAATAACTGCAATTTTTCTTTGACTTCAGGCAATGTGTAGTGGAGCCCACAGGACAACTAGCAATAATGAAGAGAAACAGAGGCACAAACTCTCTGGAGAGGCACTTGGGGACTTGATGGGAGTCCCAGGAGAGCTTGGGCCAATTAATCCCCAGGTAACAACTGCACAGCAGAGAGAACAGAGACGGCAGCCGAGGTCGGGAGGTCCTGCATGCTGCCAAAATGAGGGCAATGTTCTCTGCCTCCAGAGAGGACACCGCAATTGAAGCTAGCTCCTGCTCTCCCACACTTCATCAGAAGAATGTCTATGGCATTTCTCTGCTGCCCTCTCTCCGGAGGGGCCTTCTGACATGGGGAGAGCACAGGTATCGGTGCCAAACATTTCTGGACCATCAGGCTGCTGCCTCCCCACAGCTCTCCCTAAGACATGAAAGCTGCCAGCACACTCGAAATAACAGGGCACCTTCAGTAACACGACCAGGCAGGCACACGTATGCCCGTCATTTCGTAGGGTCAGGACGTGATCTGGGCACATCGCTGGCATGACGGGGCATACCATGACCGGGGTCACCCCACCACAGCACAGCCTGCCGGGACGGATGGTTAGACAGTGCTCGACGGGGGCAGCCAGCTGGAGACAAAGTCCAGCCCAGCAAGCCGCAAGGATCTCAGATATATAAAAAAACCCAAACAACCCTTTGATTGTGTCAGCTGTCAGAGACAGCTTCACTGCCAAACTGATCGTTAAAAGCACACACAGCACAGACCTTTTAAAAGAAACAATCGGTTCTCTTCTCAAAACACGCACCTGAACAGATTAGGGAGGTTTTTATAACCCAGACAGATCTTTAGAAACAGCTATGAGTGGAGATCTGCCAGCCGCGGTGCCGACGCTGCTAGTTCAATCATTATGGCAAAGAGCGATAACAAAATCATGTGAAACGAAGTCAGTGGGCTTTTTCTGCCTAATCAAAATTTATATTCTTGGTTCAGAGAGTACATGTTATGACAGCTGGACTCATTCATTTATAGGAGGGCACTTCTCAAATTGTTTTCAGCTAACCGGCAGGCTCCTTTGCTGCCAGAAAGGTCTCTAGTCTCGCTAACTTACAAGCAAGCAGAGCAACGAGGGCTAGTAGGAATAAGATGGGAAGAAAGAGGCCACGTTAGGTTATATTTAGTTAGGCAATGGAAGACCAGTGCCACTGTTTTTCCTGAAGTGAATTCTCAAAAAAAACCCCAAAACAAAACCCCAACATCTGCACACTGCTGGGGTACAAAGAAAGGCAGCAAAGGCAATGGCAGCTTCTGAAATGACTAAGCGAATGCAGAGCTTTATTCATTTATCTTCTTACTAGAACAAAATTGTCAAAGTAGTAGTAGTGGAACAACAGAGCTGCCAAAATGAACATAAGATCCTGGACATATCTGTTCAACCTAAACAACTTATTAACACAAAGCAGCATCCATCTGTGCACATGTTGTGCAACAGCCCAAAAATTATGTTCCCAAAAAGGCTTCTTTAGAAATACAACCGCTGGAAACATCGATAATTTGAAGGAAGACCTTTAAATTATCTTCCTGGCAGACTTGAGCTATCCCCAAAATACATGAGCGGATCATCTTTAAACAAAAATGGAAACAGTTCCCTAAGAAACAGTTTAGCATGACTGAAGATTGAGATTTATACCTTGACAGAAATTTAGTGGAAAGACAGACTAAACTGCCGTACAGATTTCAAAGGTAGCAAAGCTGCAGTACAGTTTCATCTGTCAATGTATGATGCATCGTTAGAAGTTCTGCCAAGTCCATGGACTGTTACTCCTTACCCAGGGAAATAGTATGGTACGTCTGGTCACATAGAAAAAGGTTAGTCTTCAGCATTGGCTGCTCCTCATGCATCAGCTGCTTGTGCTTGCATCCGCACCCCACTGAGACCAGCACTTATACACTCTTACACATCAATAGCGAATAAAAAAATAGCGATTTTCATATAGGAGTTGAAATACATGCACTGCTGTATGAACATTACAAACTTTTATTGCTATGGCCTGGCCTCCTATCAAGCCTGTGTTGAAGACATGACCTTGGTCTGTCAACTCATGCCCTTTGGAGCAGCTCTGTGCTTCAGCTCAGCTGGCAACAGCTTCATGCCCGAGCACTCCCATGCCGTATCACGAGGGGAACTTCCCACTACTGATAAAGGATGTGGTTTGTGCAATGTATTTATGAAAAGGGATAGAAACAGACTGAGAGTTGTATATGAGAAAACATCTAGGGGAAATGTAATTAGGGTAACACCTCAAAAATATTTTAGGAAGTTGATTGACATGTCTTAATGCATGGCAAGACAAGAGGGGGATTTAGCGTTTTGTCAAAGGAAATCTTTGGAGAACCAAAACAGCAAAACCAGGTGATGATCTACCACAAAGGATTGCAACGGCCTACAAAGGCAGCTCAGTGCCCGTGACCAGGCTCCAGCATCGGGAAACTGCACACAGAGCAGCTGCAGAGGAGGGAGTCCAGCCCGCACGCCAGGACTTCCAGTCGGTCCAATTTTGAAAGACCTACATGTTACACAGGAAACAAACTATGAAAGAATATGATATACAAAACCTGTACCATATTTTTTTTGCCTTCCAAGTTCCTCATTTCACATGAAAAAAACAAGGTTGTCTTGCATGTGGGTGAATCTGCTTTAATTTATTCTCCATCAAAAGTCAAAGCTTTCCAAGCACCATCACACAGTTTGTTGCCATGGAAATGACCATTATGCCACAAACGGGTACCAGACTTCATGGGAAGAGACAGCAGGAGTGAATGAGTCCTAAAATGAGTTAAAGTACTTGTTTTCATGTATTTCTTATTACTAATAAAACATAAAAGAGCACACACAGCTCAGGTTCAAAACTGTTTCCAACCCAAGTTTCCCAAAACACACCTACCATCCAGTTTCAGCCAATCTCCAGTGAAGAAAGCAAGGAAAAAATAATGTTTACTAAAAACACTTTAGCTAATTAAAATTCTAAATTTTTAATGAAAAGGAAAGGCTACAAGCATGCACTACTTCCCCTAAGCAGAAAGAAGAGCTGCATATTCACTTCTAAAAACATTTTATGCAAGAATACTGGAAAGTAGATGCATTTCACGGCACGTAGTGCCAGCTGCTCCACAGCAGGGAAGGGATAAAAAAACAAACCTAAAAACTGTGCAAGCTTTTTTCTCAGCTGACTCCTCTCTCGCAGGCACACTTCCACAAAGGCAGCCAAGGCTACTTTTGGCCATGACCTACTTTCTTGCAGCAGTGAGAAGCCCCACCGCCCTGCGTGCTCTCATCTGTCAGCTGACAGCACTCGTTCCTGCGGGATCCCAAAGGGCAGCATCCTTTATTGATACCCAGAGCAGAGGTTATTACGACGCGTGGGTTAGTGGGACACTGTGGCAGCTCGCGGATGCAGCACGCCGATTGTTTCAAATTAAATCATTCTGTCATCGCTGTGTGTCTCATGAAGATATGACCCACAATTCCTGCACATCAATTAGTTACACTCTCTGAATCCCTTTGGTCTGTGGCTGCATGTTCTTCTTGGTAATGAGGCTCTGACCCTGTTGGATACGCACCAGCCTGAAAAGCAACAGGAATGGGCTCATTTGATTCTCTGCCCACACATGGGTAGAGTTGGTGATGTGCGGCAAGAGCTGTATGTAGTAAATACAGACTTTCCAGCTCTATCAACAGTAACTGAGTTAGCATTAAAATGTTCAACACTTGGGGATCAGACACCCTTCTGAACGGCCTCCGGCAGGAACACACAAGAATCCAGTGAAGCTATTGCAGGGAAAAATTAATGTGTCACGTCAGAACTGGCTGACAACACAAGGCCAAAATCATCCAGGGCTGACGTGGCCATTTGGTAGGTTCTCATCCCACCAAAACAAGCAACCCAGAGTTACCTCAGATAGTAGAGAAAGCCAAACCTAATACAAATATTAAAACACGATGTTGCCTACCAAGTACCAAATTTAGCTTAACAACAGCAAATAAATTTTATATTAAATTCTTTGATTCCTTCAAAGATGAGACCTGTTACTTTTTGCATACAACTTCACATTTTAAGAAGCCCTCTTACAATTTTCCCTGCTATAAAACCTTCAAGAAATATGGGGATATGAATTGAATCAATAGTATTAGAATAACTCCATGTATAATGTTACTTATTTCAGATCTTGTAAATGGATTTAATGATGATAAAAGACGTTGGAAATCCTCAGCAAGTCTACACATTATGGGAATGTGACTGGAAACAGCAGCACTGTTTTAACAACATAAGCCATCTTCACGTAGTTTAATACTTGCTGAAAAACTTGGGGTCAGCAGCCAAGGGGCCAGAATAGTCTCCTGATTCAAGGTATTGTTTCTATGTTCAGCTCAACAGCAAAAATGCTAAATATTTATCATGTGGACAACCGTCTACCAAATGCTAAAAAGATACCCCCAACTCACATTCTTGGATGAAGCTGCTGTTTAACCACAGCTTTCATCTACTACTCAACTGGTATGGAAAT